CCAACCTGTCTCTACACCAACCTGTCTCCAGTCCAACCTGTCTCTACTCCAACCTGTCTCTACTCCAACTGTCTCTACTCCAACCTGTCTCTACTCCAACCTGTCTCCATTCCAAACTGTCTTACCTAATATATTCCTCTTTAACCAACCTGTTTACTGTCTGTGTCTCTCAGGTGAGACTCTGGAGGAGACTCTGAGGAGGGAGGTGGCGGAGGAGGTGGGTCTGGAGGTCCATAGTATCTCTTACAGCTCCTCACAGCACTGGCCTTTTCCCCACAGCTCCTTCATGATGGCCTTCCACGCCTCCGTTAGCCCCGCCCACACTCAGGTGAGCTGCCAGGTGTTTTGAACAGACAACAGAACGTAGAGAGAGAGTGCTGCAGGTGAACAGGTACCGGCTGATTCACTCATGTGACCTGCTGTGTTCTAGTTAAACGTGGACCACGCTGAGCTGGAGGACGCTCGCTGGTTCAGTCTGGAGGAAATCACCTCCGCCCTGAAGGTAAAGACCCCACCCAGGAGAGGCGACCCTGCTGTCGTCTGGCTTCCTCCCAAACACGCCATCGGCAACCATCTCATCACAGAGTGGGCAGACCGCCAGCGCTGCCGGGAGGAGGGAGAGTAACGGCGGCGAGGAGCTACACGTCATCCAGACTCCCTGTGGGACTTCTTTAAGATCAGTAACTGAACTGAATCAGTCAGAACAAGGTTTTACACTGAGACAAAGACAGGTAAAGGACAGGTAAAGGACAGGTGAAGGACAGGTAAAGGGAACAGGTAAAGGCCAGGTGAAGGTGATATTGAATGAACGTTAATATACAGAAATATATAAATTGTGTGTACCCACTCTAAGGCAGAAAGCAACTCAATGGACGTTTCATTTGATCAACTGAGATCAAAAAAACCAACTGTGTTAATTAACAGCTTAATGTCATCATATTAACGTAATTAACATGTTAACACAGAATTAACATGTAATTATTTAAGCTGTAAAGAACTACCTCTGATTTTAAATGTTTTACTGAATCTGTTATAATATCTGAATAAAAGATTTCACTGTCAATCTGAAATGTTTTCTATATATATTATATATATGTTTTTATTAAGTCATCGGGAGTCTTTGAGGTCAGAAACCTTTTAATTCTCCTGAAAAACAAAATGAGCTGAGAGACATTTAATCTTTTACATTTACATCAGTTACAGAAACATTAAATATGAAACGTTCACAGACTTCAGAACAAGATGAACTTATTAAATCATTACAACACAGACTGAAGGTCTGAACATCAGAACAGGAAACAGGAAGCAGTTTGTTCTGTCTGCAGACACCACAGAAGAAGACGTTCAATAAATTCACTTCTTTCCTTTCTTTGGTTTCTTGTTACAATATTTCTCCTCCATCTGGCCAATCAGAGAGCTGAAGTCGGCTTCACGAGTTGCCGTCCTCCTCTGAGGAGACGACACCACAACAACAACAACAACAACAACAGACAAACAGGACGAGAGAACCCATCATTAAAATAAATCTTTATAACAACAGGAACATTCAGGTGAACCTGTAAACACGTCAGAACAATAACAACAACAATAACAACAACAATAACAGTCATCATCCTGTCCTCCATCTGCAGTAAAACATTTAACTTCCAGTCAATTTGAACTAAATGGGACTTAAACACATTAAATTGTTTTTTCTAATGTTTTCCAATTTTCTAAATGTGGTGTCTGTAGTTTCTGTAGTTTCTGTAGTTTCTGTAGTTTCTGACCTTAATGACGGCCGACAGGCTGCTCTCCTCGTCCATACTGAACTCCTTCTTCAGCTGCTCGGACTGAGCGCACTCAGTATCCGCCTGTACACACACACACAGCTGATGATGTCACAGCAGTACAATGAACAGTGTGACATCATTTCCTCCTTTCATAAAGCTCAGACTGATCGATTGATCGGCTTCTGATCAGTCGGTTTCTGATCGATCGGTTCCTGCTCACTTTGCGTTTGCGAGCCGCCTTCTTCCTGTCGCTCTCGTGTGTGAACGCTCTCAGAGCCGGGAGGTCGCCGCCGCCGATGGCCGCCTGCAGGAAGGTCAACGTACAGTGTTACCCTGCAGCCTGAGGACAGCAACTTCCTGCTTCCTGTCGGCTGTTA